CTCTCTCCTCTTCCTCAAACAGCCCAAGCTCTTTCTGAATCAAGGTTTTGCTTTCCTTTTTTTCTGCTGAGAATGCCTGTTATACTAATTCCCACCCCTACATACTCTGTGTTTGACTCCACCTTATCCTTCAAGACTTCCCTCTATTTTTACCATCTTGGAAACAGCCCATCACTTACCCTATCACATCCTCTCACTTATGTTTACTTAGTAATTGAAAATATTCTATAATTACAGTAGTCCCCGCTTACCCACCTTTTCACTTTCCTTGGTTTCTGTTATCCATGGTTAACAAAATTCTGAAAATAGTAAATGGAAAGTTCCAGAAATAAACAATAAGATTTAAATTGTGCACGACTCTGAGTGGTCTCATGAAATCTCTTACTCTATCCCACCACCTGGAATGTGAATCATTTTGTTGTCTAGCTTGATAGTCACTTAGCTGTTTCCGTTGTCAGACAGAAAAAAAACATAGTATATATTGGGTATGTATGTGTGTGCACATATATACATATGTGTATCCATCTATATATACGTGTATATGTATCTCCTTGGTTTCAGGCATCCACTATGGGTCTGGAACGTAAGTTCTTCTCCCTGTGAATAAGGGGTAACTGCTGTAACCTCATTTACCTGTTCATGAGTTTAAAGTGTTTCTCCCCTAGGAAACTATAAAGTAAACTTGATCAAAGCATAGACCATGTCTTTTTAGTGCATGGCTATGTCCCTTGATTTAAAAGAGGATTATCTGATACATAACAGGCATTCAATAAATATTTGTTAGATAATTTGATGCATGAATAATAACTGATGTTAAATTTCCATTGAGATTCCCTGACCTCATTTCCACCCACCGGTTATCTTTAGCTGTCAGTAATAACTTGATAGTTAGTTGCCCAAGACACATTTCCTTACTCATCTATTTGCTTTTGATTAGCCTTGGACTTTGATGGTTAATAATAATAATAATAATACAGTGCTCTGGGCAGCCAGTAAGAAAAGCAGAGGCAATGATGCAAATACATTCAGAATGTCTCCTGGCTAATGTGATCCAGACCTAAACAAATAATGTCCACACATCAATCATTCCTCCACTTCCTGCAAATGAATCTCCCTGAAGGAGTCATCAGATTCCCTGGATGGTGATGACTGACGGGATGTCCCTGTGGACTCCCAAACTCACTGCAGCTGGGGAGGGGCTCCTTGATACCAAGAGTTTAAAAGTCTCGACTTCAGAACAAGATGAGAAAACTCACAGGTAAATCTATAATTACTGCAGAGTTCTGAAAAGAAGCAGAACATGAAGGTAAGTAAAGGTTTTATTCATTTGTGACTTCTCAGCTATTTTAGCCAAAGCATTAGAGATTTTCACCTATTTTACATTTCATAAGCATTTTAGAGGCTAGAGGATGTTTGAACAATATGCCTTTAGAATAGAAGAATCATTCGATTTTATTAAGAAAAAAAATTTACTTATGTACTTAGTTCCTTATGTGGGTAATGGAAATCACGTATTTCTAAGTAATTTTTTTAAGTAGACCCTTGTAGATTAACCAGAAGTAGACTGGGGAAACAAATTTACATAGTAAGTATTAAAACAGAACATAGTGAGAAGTAAGGGCTTTGTAATCGTCCAGGCATCAAGGCAGGACACAGAAGATGCCACCTGCCCAGAAATGACATCTCTGGTTGATCATTTCACGCAGGGACTCAGAAGTCTGGCAGCGACAACCGTGGCTCTTTTCCTGATGTTCTCTTTCCTGGGAAACTCGAGGAGCGCCCCGCAGGTAATCAAATGCAAAATAAATAAATGACCCTGAATTAACACAGGACTCCTGAGTGCCTGCTGTCGGCTGTTTTTTCTCTTCTGCTTTCTTTTTTTATCTTTCTTTCTTGTTTTCCTCTTTCACTAACAGAGGATTGGGCTGCAATGTTTTCTCAACCGCTTTTCTCTTCTCCCCGGGTTACAGGGACTATTTGAGAGAAGGAACTGGACTCCTCAGGCCATGCTGTACCTGAAAGGGGCCCGTAAGTTACAAATACTTTGCTCTTCCTGTAACTATACCGATCCTTGGGCGCGCGTGAATCCAGGAGCGGGTAGATGGAGAGCACATAATGTCCAGTTTGTTTCCTTCAATAGCGAAGCCGTGCAGGCCCCTCAGGTGGGTGAGGAAGGGCGGTGGGAGGGGAAGACGCCCTGGTTATTAGAAATCTTCCATCCTAAACTGGAGGGTTGCTGTTCCTTGGCGCCCCTGGGGGCTCTGGGGATGCCGAGGAAACCTCCCCCGGGCCCGGGCACGCGACCTCTGCTCCAGGAGCCCAGTTCAGCCCCGGGTTGCGCTCGGAGCGCTGGAACCCGGCAGCCCACCTCCCGACCTGGGGACTGCGCGGCGCCGAGCGGCTGTGGCTCCAGCCGCGACTGTCCCGGTCCGGCGGCGGCTGAGACCCTTGTCTCCCTTTGCAGAGGGGCACCGCTTCATCTCCGACCAGAGCCGGAGGAAGGACCTCTCTGATCGGCCACTGCCGGGTGAGTGATTAAGGGAACAGGGGCGCTGATTCAGTGTCTTCCAGCAGGATGCAGCGGGCAGAGCTAACTCTGCCCTGGTGCCAAAAGCCAGTGCTTCCCCAGCGGAAGCACGCGGCTGGGAGGCCACTCTGAGTCCCTAGGTGGGCAGCAGCGGCAGGACGCCGAGCACTGGAGCGTCGTCCAGCCAGGCACTCACAGTGGCAGGGGCGGAAGGGGCTGGAGCGCAGCTGTCCAGACCGCCCAGGGTGCTGAGGTCCCCAGCGGGTTACTCATCCGAGGACAGGCAAGGCCTGGGGTTCAGCTCAGACGGGTAAGAATAGAAACAACCGTGCAAATGCTTCTATAAATGCACCCCGGTATTTAGGTAGGACCTTTATCCAGTTTCCTCTTAAGCACTCTTATTATTACAATAAGAAATTACCGAGGAACTTCAAATGTATGGGTCTATCGTATTACTACAGAGCTATCAAAAGGTTCAAAACCAAAAATAATTAAGTAAGGAGCCTTGAAGAATGGAGCCAGAGACTGTTATTTTTTCATGATAAGCCTTTTCCTATCATTGGATTAAAAACGAATAGAATTTGATACAACTTTAAAGATTGAAACGTTACAAATAAAAAGTCTACTTATTTTGAAAAAATACCACCCATTGTGTTGAGGTATTTAACGATTTTTTTTTATCGTCTTCAAGCTTGCAGTATGATTATTTTGTGAGGGTAAAGTTTGCCTTCCCACTTCACTTGCCCTCAGATTGAAAATCACGTCTTGTGTTGAATTAGATCCTTCCTCTTTTGGGCACTTAGATTTGAAATAACGTTGAACGCCTACCAGATACCTGTTCAGTCGTCAAATTGTTACCTGATACCCAGCCAAGAATGTAGATTATTATCTCAAAGTGCTTTGGAAGTAACAAGAGAGGCCGGTAGTGCCGGCTGCACGCGGGATCCCAGGGAAACATTTTTGCCCAGACATTGCATTTTAAATTGTGAAAGGGCTTGTTTCTCATGGGCTCTTTATCTTAATCCTCCTTGCTCTCATGAAATTCTTTTCAGCATTAGTTTAATGCACAACCTAACCACTTATAGGTCATTTCCGAGGGAAGAGGGAATGTTTGTAAAAATCAACCTTCTGTGGAAGGGGCCTTTTGCCTAGGGCTCAAAAATCTATTTTGTAGAGGTCTTTCTAGTATTGTAGCAGAGTAGAATAGGATTTACCTACACATGAATATGCACATGCTAACAGAATCTGTATAAATTTTTGTTTCCAGAAAGACGAAGTCCAAATCCCCAGCTGCTAACTCTTCCTGAGACAGCAGCCCTGTTACTGGCTTCCTTGCAGAAACCACAAGAAGGTATAAGCACACTGATCTCTTTCAGCTGCAGGACAGAGTGGTCATGCTTACTTTGGGGATTCTGTGTTGAGTACAACCCCTACCCCTATTCACCCAGACATTGACAGAGAAGTTTATTCTGTAAAGACCAGTTATATTTCTCCTTAAAGTGAGTCCCAAACCATTTCCATGAGGGAGACTAGGGAATTTTATATGAATTTCACAATCCATATAGGCTGTTGTAAACTTAATTACTCTTAGAGCTCTTGAAAGTGAAAGAGCTCAACGTCCTACCTCATTGTTTTATAGTTGAACAAACTAAGGTCTAAAAGATTAAATTAAAAAATCCAGTTTCTCACTATGAAAAGTTAAACGAAAATGAAAGGACTGAAAGTCAACCTTTCCTAACTTACAAACACAGCTGTCTCACATGGTTCAGGCCAATAGATAAATGTCCTTAGTGGGCCGCGTGTGGCCCGCAAGCTGTAGTTTGAGGACACCTGCTTTAGGAGGTGTGTTTTTCTTAAGTGCATACAGATGGTAAGAAGTGATACTGAGGTTTTAGCTCAAGTCTGTGTGACTCTCTATCTCTCCAGTTACACCATGAGAGTTCTCAAATGGATTGTATTGATGAGGAAAAGCTGGAATGGGGAACCTATGAGAAACCAGAATATTATGCAGAAGGGAAGGGAGGAGGTGCCGTCAGTGAGTGAGAATGGATGAAGAGGCTCAACTCTAAGTCAGGCTGGAAGAAAGATAAGATGGGATAAGTATTCACTAAAGATATAAAAGGGAATCCAAGACAAGCGTACTTTTAGAGTGTTGTGTGTGTGAGTTTAAAATGGCAAAGATGATAATAAGGCATGAAAATTTCTGCAGATATGGGAAAGGGTTCAATTCAAGGTCAAAGGGACATTTTAGTGAATAAAGATGTGTAGGTCAGTGGTTCTCCACTGTCTGTCTATGGGCTGGTGGGTGACTTCAGAGTTACCTGGAAAGCTTACCGAAAAATACAATTTCTTGGCCTCAGGCCCAGAGAGTCTGATTCTGTAAGACTTGTGCGCGGCCCCAGAGTCTGTTCCCTTAAGAAGTTTCCCCACATCATTCTGATAATTGGTCAGATTTGGGAACAAGTGGAAATTCAGAGGTGGTTCATAAAGGTTGAAACCATGCAAATGGATATTCCCTTTCCAGGCTTAGATACAGTGGAAGAAGGACGGATAATAAAAGATGTACCTTGGAAAAGGGGGAACAGGGGAAAGATTAGTGAAGGGATATTAAACGGAGCAGGCAGAAATCTAAGAGGTAAAGCAGGGTAATCAAGTATCCTGGAGTCGAGAATGGAGTTCCAAAAATGTAGTAATCCGAGCATTGACTGTAGCCGAATGATTAGTAAGAATACACAACTCAGGGGACATTAAACAGTGGCTCACAAGACTTCTCCTCTGTTCCTGTCTGGTGATACAATTTACTGCTGCTGGGACCTGCCTGAAAGGCAATTTGGTTTAGAGGGAATCTGGGATAAGAAAGTAAGCGGCAGAGTTGAGAAAGCAGGTGCTGGGAGAGCTGGCTTAACTCTCAGAATTATTGCAAAGACAAGGGGAGGCACAGGTGAATCATGGGTAAAGAATGCTGTGTCCGAGGTGAATTGTTTTGTACGTTCAAGATGTGGAACACTTATGAAGTTGGTAAGAAAAGAAAGCTCGGGTAGAGATTGGTTGATAGTGAAGTTTTAGATTTGATTGTTGGGAAGATGTGCAGAGCCATAGAGGAAAGTCAGCTATAATGGATGAGGAAGAGCTTGTTTTAAAGAGGAGAGATATCTTTGTTAGCAATTTTAGGGGAACATACGATTATAGGTCCTCATTTCATATCTTTAAAAAAAATAGTCTTTTAAATTGAAGTTATCTAAGCGGCTTGTTCCTGAAGATGAAATGAGGAAGCAAAAAATGAAAACTTTTAGATTCCCATATAGTATATTAATCACTAGTGTCCTTTAGGCTCTAGCAACTATTTGAAAGGCTTAGTTTTACACGGTGAAATTTTATTTCATTGGTGTTTATGCAGGGATGTCTTCCTAGTTGCTTTTTTTTTTTCTTTCCCTCCTCTGTGAAGAGCAAACCATGCTCTGCGATGTTTTAACATGTGCTAGCAATTCAGGTTAAGATATAAACCAGACATTCAATTCTACTGCAGCTAACTGAGAGAATATGACTTTAGCAAGAGGTGATCTTAGAGAAAATCAGAAGATGCTCTAGCCACTTTGCTCCTAGCCACTCCTTCTGTCTAGTCCACTGTAAATTTTAGCCACTGTGCCTTCTTTTTGTAGCCCCAGGAACCTGCTGACTTAGGTGCTCCCAGCCAGGGTGTGATGCCTCAAGCTCTAAAGTTCTGCAATCCCGTCCAACCAACATGTCCCTTCTTTTTCTCTCATTTCCACTCCAGGACTCAAACTCCCCTAACAAAGGAATAAATGTGTTCCCACGTTATCTTTCCCAAGTTAAGATGCATTTTAGCAGGAGAAAAAAGAGACAGACAGTCCTTTGTTACAAGTGACTGATTTTAATAGCAGGTATTTTGGACATGAGGCAATTTATCAGAGTAAGATGTGGCCCTTTTAGATCTCTACCACATGTATCATGTTGTAGTTTCATTCATTGTAAAGATTCAGATGTAAAGTTTGAATTTCCCAATCTATCTTAAGCTGCGGGGCGAAATTTAAAAACAAAACAGATTCAAATCCATTTGGGGACAGTTTTCAGGAGCAGAGTCCGTGAGTTACTTACTGGGAGTAAATGCTTATTTCCCAAGGTTCTCCTCATTTGACCTTTTCCTCTTTTAAAATACACAGAATGTGTCTTTAAGTAATTTTATTTTTCCTTACAGATGAAGAAGAAAATTTTGATCAAACCAGATACCTGGAAGGCAGTCTGCTAAACTGGTGAAGATATAACAAATTGGGTTCAATGATAGTTCTATTCTGTTGAAAATACGAACCATGTGAATAAAACGCTTGGCCCCTTTTTGCTCCATTTATAATCGGAACTCGCATAGCTAGTTTTATTCTTTCAGAAGCAAAAGAAATGTAGAGTTCTTAGCTGAGAACATCCTCACCTCATTTCAAGGTGATGTTTAGATATGCAAAATGTTTAGATCGCCTTGCCTCTACTCTTGAATGTTTCCAAACACTTATGAAGCTGAAGACTCTAAAGTGGTCTGGCCTTTTCTTCCAGCCAGCACCTGTCTTAATCTTAGTTGTTGTGTTTTCCCTTCCACTTGCATTTTGTTATCACTCAAGAAAGATTCTCTCTCTCTGTTTTCCCTCTTGCCCATCAGGAGGAGGGTGGCAAGCATAGCAGGATGGGGAAAATGAGAGTTATGTCTCCCTCTAATTTCATCCAGGGGAAAGAACTTTGTAATAAAGGAAACTGGATGACTGGGGAGAATCCCTGTGATAAGAACACTTCCATGTGCTTGCTGAGAGAGAGGACAACTGGTAAGGTAGAAGGTTTACTGAAGATCCAGAGCTGGGAGCTTCCTTTGTGCTCTTTGAGAATCTCCCTGAATTCTGTTTAGAAACATGAATCTGACTGTTACTGTGCGACACGCCCATGGAGGCACACTCTGCTGTGCATATACTGTATGGGGGGGAACAAGCTTTTTTTTAAAGTAACCCATTTTCCATGATCTACCAGACTCAACAGACGTAAATACCCTACTCACTCTAATTGCCTAGAGCTCTTGGCTTGATTTTACATCATAATATTACGTGAAAGCATCAGATAACACAAGGGCACGGTAATATCCCCAATACACTCCTTTTCAAAGTCAGTGTGCATTCAGTGGCATTTGAATACATACACCCACACCCCTGCAACAAGCATAATAATTTATGTTTTTGGAATTACAATATGGCCATAATGTTAATTATTTTTGCCTAATTAATTGAGGATTGTGATTGATAAATGCTGTAAGTGGAAAATATTGTTAATTCTTTTTTTCTTCTTCTTTTTATTAAATCATAGCAGTGTACATTAATGCAATCATGGTGTTAATTCTTATTGTCATCAGTATGTACATATATAGCTATTATTTTGTAACCACAGAATATCTTTATGTGAGTGTCTCTGTAACTTGGAATTCTCATTGTGTTAAAAAATAAAAACCCTGCTTATAAGATTTGTCTGTATCTTGTTCCAGAACTGAACAATGAAACTAAATTCAACTTAATGTAACATTGATTTCTGTCAAAAAAATAATACATGAGTATTAAAAGTCTATGTGATATTATAACAGGAACCTGTCTTTAATTCTGGTTTGATTTTATTAGGTGGTGTTTATATCCAATTTATTGAAAATTATTTACTCAGCAGACATAAATTTATACAGATTGGCTATTTAATTATGTTTATTCCAAGAACACTTTAAACATCTATCTTATGAAATAATTCTTCCCATCACTCCCTAGAACAAACTCAAGTATTTCATACTAAAACAATATTTTAAAAAGCTGTCTAAATGACCAATGGCTGCTAAAATATAGCTCCAAGTACTATAAGTACCAAGATTTCTTGAATGTTTTACCAAACAAGGGGTACTGATAACTTACAAAGTCCCTCGCCCCGGTTTGCTTTTCAACTATATTAACCTGTCTTTGTGATTCTCTTTATTCCTGTATTTTTCATACAAGTGATCAAAGATGAAAGAGCACTCAGATTGTACGACTCGTGTTTTAAAATGGGGGAAATTTCTGCCTTCAGAGGATTCCAGGTGTTAGAATACTTCCAGATTGAAATTTTGGCCACTGTCTGAGTCTACCTTTCCTCCGTATCCTACCTCCCCTGTGGCTATCCGGCCTCCATCCTGGACTCTCAATTATGCTTTGTTTTTCTGGGTTTCCAGGTAGATGCCTCCCCTCTTCCCCACCCAGCAACGTGATTCTGAGGAAGGAGAGAAGGCAAAGAAGCCCTGGCTTGTTCACAGCGGTCTCCAGGTCACATTTCTTCTTTACCTGGTGATGATAAATGACAATCTTGTCAAGCTTGAGTTACATTATTTCATCTCAGCCTCAGGAGACAGGAAAGTTGGGAATATCAACTTCATGTAATCCAGTCTCTTCATACTGGTCTATAAATTCTTTAGGAAGAGTTAATTTCTAATTCGGTTTGTTATTTACAACTACCATGTGAGATGGGTAATTGTTTCACCCACAGGACTTGAGAGAAATTTGGTATGATCCTAAGAAGCAGCTTTGGACCTCCCTAACTAGACCTCACCAGGCTTTCCAAGTTCTCCGTGTACCCTGGGAGACTATTGGGATAGCACTTGTAACATTTTATACTCTCATCTCTCCATCTCTCTGTTGCCCTAACACTTACCATGGAAGAAAGGGTGGTGGCTTGGTCTGCTCAGGCTGCAAAATCAAAATGACATCAACGGGGTGGCTTATAAACAACAGAAGGTTGTTTTTCACAGTTCTGGATCCTGGAGAGTTCAAGATCAAGGTGTTGACAGAATCAGTGCCCTGGAAGGGCCTGTTTTCTCACAGATGGCTCTTTCTCTTTGTGTCCCCACATGGTTGAAGAGGCAGGCAGCTCTCTGGGGCCTCAGGATCTAGTCACCTCCCAGAGGCCCGCTTCCTTTGTGGATACCATCTCACTGGGGATTAGAATTTCAATACAGATGGTCCTCAATTTACAATGGTTCAGTTTGGGATTTTTTTGACTTAACAATGGTGTGAAAATGATACATGTTCAGTAAGTACCTGCATTGAAGATGGGGCCATATCCAGGCAGAACCATCATAAATTGAAATTACTGATGGATTTATTCAGACATAACCTCATTGTAAGTGAAGGAGTGCCTATATATAAACATTCAGACTATAGCAGATAGTATAATCTGTTGTGGGGTGAATTCCCACAAAATTAAATGAAATGTGCTCTTTTAATTCTAGAAACTGAGCAAAAAGACTTGTGAGTATTATGTGCTCTTGTTGAGGCCTGAGAGACCTGGGAAAGCACGGTGGGGGGCTGCAGGCAAGGCTTAACAGCCTCCTACATGGAACCCTGATGGTACAGTCAAGTTAGCCTGCCAGATAAGGGTTGAAATGGCCCATCTGTGCAGGGGACATGACTCAAAGGTTGGTGTGAGTGAAAAGAAAAACTCCATTGTAATGAAATGATGTGAGTAAAAGAACACTCCATTGTGGGGGGGGGGGCTCCAAACCATGAGAAAACAGTGGTGGAGCCTGTTTCTTGGAAATTTAATTGAGTACATAGAAGAAAAAGGTTTTATTCCCCTGTTTATCCTGACTTTAACAATAGAAGTCAGATAAGGTATAGTTGTTTTAGGTCTTTAGAGAGGAATAGCCTGAGGCTAGCGTTAAGAAGGTTGTCTTACTTTCCCCGGACTTTCTTTTCTATAGTTTAAGATAAGAATTGAGGATGTTAGGATTATTGATCAATGTGGTGTACATGATTAGTTTACTATAAAATGACGAGAATAAAGACACTTTGTTGCTACATGCCATCTAAGAGTATGTAGTCGTTTCTTGCTTTCATACAATTCTAGGAGGGAGCTTGCACCCGTGGCCAAGCCATCCTTCTCTCCCTGAGAGAAAGTACCACCCAACAATCTGTAAGAAAAGTCTGACTGTCAGCTCTCAGGTACCACACCCTCTTTTCTAAAGTTCCTGTCCTCCAACTTATGAGTACATACATTCTTTCAAAGCATCAATTTTTTATGCCTCTGCTTCCCCCAGTAAGCCCGTTTATTCATCACTCAGTTATTTATTTATGGACAGGGCATTGTGCTAGACACAATTCTATTTGTTTCTCCTCACCAGGCTTTGTTGGTCTTGGGGAAAAGATATTTCTTGGACAAAAGGATGGAATCAAGTGACAGCAGCTGTCTAAATAGGGGACCATGCACAGGGCAAAAATTGATTCCTACACACTCAAAACCAGATGTTTGTAGCCAGCCCTTTGTGGCAGGTGCCTGTACTCCCAGCTACTTGGGAGGCTGAGGCAAGAGGATCACTTGAGCCCAGGAGTTTGAGGTTGCTGTGAGCTATGATGATGCCACAGCACTTTACCCAGGGTGACAGAATGAGACTCTTATCTCAAAAAAATAAATAAAATAAAATAAAAGATGTTTGCAAAGTCAGTTAATTTTCACGTGCACTGTCATTTGTAGTGTCATCCTAGAACTATTCTTTCATTGAGCAACAAGCACTTAAATTTTAAAGCTTTATACTGAGATACTTTACTGTACAGCTCATGCTAACAGCACATCAAACAATTATCAGGCAAGAGTATCATCTGAATACACACATTGTACCACTTTACTAGTGAGACATTTTCATGGTTATCCTAACACTAACTCCTCTTTTATCATGAGATCTTTCTGACACTTGAGTAAATGGGTCTATGATAAAATCCATCTCACATTTTTCTGCTCTCCAGTGCAGAGTACTTCAAATTGATCTGCAGGTCCTGGGTCAATCGCACAAATCCATAGGGCCTTTTTCAAGGGTTAAGTTTTAAAGTATTTGTCTTAAATTTGCGACCATCTTCCATTTTGGTGTGAGTTATAGCGTATATCCAACAGTCTTCTATTTTGCTAGCTAATGGGGCAACAGGGAAGCTGGAGTAGTTTTCCACTGGTCAGGTACCATCTGACACTTCGTTGTTACTCTTCCACTCTTGCCCTCAACAACCCACTACTGAAAAGACCAAAACCTTTTTAGAGCCTAAGACTAACCCAACTGATAGGCTAATCAAATTATTCATGTGAGCTAGACAGAATTTACAACAAATAGCTACTTTGTTACCAAAAAAAGCAATCCAAGACTGAATGTGGTTTTTGTTTTTGACCATTTAGGTCTACATTTAAAACATAAATATGCTTAGTTGTAATAATTCCACTATGTCTCTAAGCACGACACAGAATCTGTGAGAGACGTTGTCCTTATTATATAACTAAACAGATGCTCTCTTTTTTTCTCCCACTAATTATTTGTAAAA